CAGCAAACACATGACATCCCAAAAAATCGCAAGGGAGTCTTCCACACTGGGCTTCCGGCGGCCCCATGACCTGCAAGCCACGGGAGCTTCGGCTTTGTGGCTTGCCGATGTGTTGATGGCTTCGGTTCAGCTCTTGGGCTCAACATCTCAAGCTGACGCGAGAACTCCTGCAAAAAACTCCCTCGGGAAAAACGGAAGCTTTTGAAGAACGGTGGCAGCAGCGATAATTCAGGCTGGCCCCGGAGCCCCAAGTGGGGGTGGGCTGTCTGTTTACCTCGAACCCCAAAGAGCCCAGCACATCTGCTGCACATTCCAGCCCCTGCACCATCAACACATCCTCAACTCTATAGGTCCTAGGCCCTAGGCCGTCAGTAGCGCGCCCTCTGTCCTGAACGCTTCGACAAGAACGCGACCGACGAAGTCCAGAAACCAGTTGTGCTCAGGCACATAACGCTTCTGCAGCGCCACTGGCAGCGAGTCACGCGTGGAGTCCGGCTCTAGTACCTTGGAGATCGAGGGTGTTGGAGTTTAGGGCTCAGTCGGTGAATGCAACTTCCATCTCTCCCCTCGCGCATCTCAAGGTTCAAACTTGGTGTGCTCTTGGCTCACACACAATCGGGATGAATCCCTATGCAGCCCGTTGCAAACCCTGCTTGGAGCCCGCTCCTCCGCCCCTTCGCAGGAACGTCGCTCTTCGAAGTCCCGCTGCCAGACCAAAGGCCTCAGTCAACGTAAAGCTTCGGGTTTTCGACTTCTGTAGGTTTTAGGATTTCAAGGCGCAGAATTCTGGGGCATGAAGTGTACGCGCTTTTGCGTGGGGTTTTCGGGTTGAAGGATATTTATTCTTGGCAAGGTCTGCGGTTTGCACAGGGTTTTAAGGTCCAGGCGTTGTCTGGAAACTGCAAAGAACTGAAGGACTCTGCTGCTATAATTCTGAAACAACTGGCTCCTGATTCTCACCAGCATTCGAAGTATGAGACATCCCCACGCCCTTGTGATATGGATTTTGACATTTCTCTCTTGGTAAGCCATTCTTGGACGACCGTCCGCGCTGCAGGTCTTGATATATCTTCATGGCGTTGAGTTCTAAGCAGGCATGGATTGCAGGGCCAGTATGCATCCATAGCATGGTTTATGGCTTGCAGGCTTGTGGTTCAAGACCTGTAAAACTCTTGATGGATAGGTACACCCACAATAAGACTCATAAGTCCATGCCGGGTGCTGAGTTCCACATCCAATGGAGGTTGACGTTAAACTGGCTGCAGGATTACCACAGCTATAAATCTCAACCCGAACTGCTCAGCTATTAACATTCTCATCTCCTGCATCTGATAGACCCGCAGATCACTAGCCAAATCCCAAGCACGGCAATCGGCGCGGGATTCCAAACCAAATTCCCTCAACTTCTCGCGTGTGAAGTGAACTAGTGCTCGCTTCGAGGCTCCTGTCTTTGTCTAGTCACCCCAAAGTTTAAACTCCCATGATCCCTAATGCCTAAATCCTGTTTTCCATCTGGTCTTGTGCGCTCGCCGCCCAGAACCTTTTCTCCTGCCTTGGACACCGGTCGCGAGTCTGGAGCTGTTGGATACCCAAGTAAGTGCCCAGAATTTTGAGACTCAGGGCTTCAGGGTGTGGAGTCCGATGTTAAGCAGTTCTACTACCACCGCTGCTGCTGCTCGTGATGCCTCTTCTCCTGCTACTACACCTGCTGCTGCTGCTGCCGCCGGTACGACCACTATGACTACAACTAGCAGCACTACTAGCACCATCGTAACACCAGTAGCACGACTGGCACTACTGACACTACTGCTGCTACTACTACTACTACTACTACCACCATTACCAGTGCCACTACCACTACCACTACTACTTCTACTACACTACTACTACTACTGCTACTACTACTACTACTACTACTACTACAGTAATACTATTACTAGTAGTTACTAGTACTGCTACGACGACGACGACGACTACTACTACTACTACTACTTCTTCTACTACTACTACTACTACTACTGACTACTATCCGTACTAGTACCTGTAGCAGTACTTCTACCTCTCGTTCTACTTCTACTCTCACTTTCTACTTGCTACTTGCTACTTGCTACTTACTACTTACTACTTACTACTTACTACTTATTACTTACTACTTGCTAACTACTACTTACTAACTACTAGTACTACTACTACTGCTGCTGCTACTACTACTACTACTGCTACTACTAC